TAAGAATAAGACTAACTTAAGTAAGTTACTCATGAGAATGAGACTAATTTTAGGTAGGTTAACTACAATAATGAGACTAATTTGGAGAGATAAACAAACACTTTATCTAGAAAAGATAAAAAAACAAAAGGATGAAAAAAAACAACTATTTAAGACAAATCGTTTATCATCTATTATCATATGTCATACTATAAGAAAGAGAGTGAGGTGGTACTTCTAAAGAAATGATGGAACAACCAATTTGACCATCAGGAGGTACCTAAAAGGTGTCGGTGCCTCCACGCACTAACACATGACACAAACATTCCTGCAACTTTTTAATTTAAAATTAATTATTAAATGTAAAAAAATCCAAAATATCCTTCATGATTCTGGAATTAACACCAAACCTATGTGAAAAGATAAAAGCATTCTTGAATGTTTGCCTTATCTTTTTTTTTTTATATAGGTAGAAAAGTTATTTTATTGTTCTATACAAAAATATAAAAATACCCTTAGCCAATAGTTCAATAATTTTTTAATTTGAGGGTAAATAAGTAATATAATTCTTCAAGAAAGTTAAGAAGTTGAAAATAACTTTTAACAATCATTTAATGACGAATTGACTGTTGACTATTTGAAAAAAAAAACCACCCTTGAAATTAAGATACCTTAAATTTTCTTCTAAGGACAAAATTGCATTTTAATCTTAGCAATGAATAGTTTTTGGTGTTTATGTGCATAGTTCAACAATGTTTAGCCTATGCATTTCATTATTTTGGATATATACATATATATATATATATATTAAATTTAGAAATTATTATTTTTATTTCTTATTTTTTTGTCCTTCATCTTTTTGTTAAAGTTTAATATCTTTTGAATTTAGTCATTTGATTACAATTTATAATGTATTTATTTTTTCAATTTGATTCTTATTTTTTTATTTCTAATTTTTTTCCTTTAGTTCATTTATAAAAGTTTTATTATTTTTCAATTTCATCATTCAATCCAATTTTATGATATATTAATTTTTTTTTTAATTTTATCCTCGTTCTTTTATTCTATTTTTTTGTTAGAGTTATTTTTCTTTTAAATTTAATCCTCGAAACAAAAATTTTTAATTTCCCTATAGTTTATTTTTTATTTTTTATTTTCACCTTTATTATTTTAATTATTATTTTTTTAGATCCTTGTGTTGTTAAAAAAAAATTCCCCATTTCATTCTTCAGCGTTTAATTTAATAGGATTATGCTCATCATTTTTTCATATATGATGATTCTGATTTAATGACTAGGTCACAGATTTGAAAAGTTAGCACGGGTGGGCATTCATTTTTTTTATATATACTTATTTATTTTTTTATTTCATCATTTAACGTATTTTTTTTAAATAACTCTATGATTTTCTTTGATTTTTTTCTACTACTTTATCTCGATTTCATGACCTAGATAATAAGTTTTGTGAGTTAACCTGGATTGACGCCTTTTATTACATATATTCAATGTCTATCGCACTACCTCAAATTGACTCAAACTTTTTTTTATCTTATCCAATTTCATACCTCAATAAACTTTTTTCATTGTTTTGTTTTTTTTAAATATTTTTTTATTAGTTATTGTTGTCTATTTTTTTATTATTTAATTAAAAGTAAACAAACTTATTAAATTTGGTTTGTTTTATTTCTTTAAAATATGTTTGTGGTATCTAAATATCAGTTTTTCTAAGGGGAAAATACAAATCTGTGATGTAGTGCGAGCCTATGCCTAGTTGGTAAATAAAAGCCAAATGAAACCATGTTATACGAAAAAAAAAAAAGTAAAATAAAGGAAAAAGAAAGCTATTGTGCTGTGTTATTAATAAAAGTTTTTAAGGTATATAAGTTTATTAAAAGAAAAATATTTTTCTTTTTTAATTTTTAATTTTCATTTTTTTTCAGTTTTTTAAGAAAATATTGAAAAACATATTTATTTGTTAATAATGAAAGTAAGATGATTATTCTATAAAGAAAATACATCAAGATTACAACTTATTCCTATAAGAAAATAAAAATCATAATTTGTGATAATCATCTTAATATTTTGTATTCATGATAATTTAATTTTAATTTATTAATTTTATTTCATTAAAATAAGAAATTATTAGGAAAAATTTATAATGCTAGCTCAAAAATATTTATATTAGATTTATAATAAAAAAATAAATTAATCTTAGTAACGCTAAATATGCAAATACAAGAAAATAAATTTAAATTTAAATTTTTAAAAAATCTTGTATATAAAAGAAAAGGGATTTATTGTTCATATTTTTTCTTCATTTGAAAAGTAGAGAAAAACTTGTGAAGAAAAATCATGGAGCACGTTTAAAATATATTCTCAAACTAAGTAGAAATTTGAAAAACTAGCTTTTTGAACGGAAAAAAAAAATACTGCATTTGAACAAAAAATTTCAAAATTTATTTCTGACTCATTCTATAAAACTAGAATATTGCTTTATTTTTTAGCAGTCCCTTACTTTTTTTCTCGCAAAGCTTTATATAACTCTGTAACATATCCCAAAAAAAATAAAAAATACTATGAATTAATAATCCAACATCACAGATAACATGGATGGCTAACAACTGCTTTAATTACTAGCTTAATGTACATATTTTGTGTGTGTAAAGAACTATTTTTTGTTTGTTTGTTTACATGATTGACTAATAAGAAAAAAAATATTACTCAAGACAAACGCACAATCTGGCAATCGATGCCTTATATAACATTGTTGTTGACCTATATATAGGTTGTAGTAAATTCACGAGTTTCCTGTATAAAAAAAGAAGAAAGGAAGAAATTACTTGAGTTTCAATTAATTGCTCAATAATTATATTCACCGAAACTAACAGAACGAATAGCTAAATAAGTATCCATTGATATGTTGGAGTTTTAATTGAAATGAGAAATAAATGTGTGTTTAATTTATTCAAGTATTTTTGTTTTGGATGTGATTAGCAAATTTGAATTTGGAAAAATGGGATCTCACGTAACTTCATAGAATATGAGCAGTGAATATACTTTTTAATCGATTTCAATAAATATAATCTTTAAAAGGTTTATGTTTATTATTTGTTTATTATCCTTGTACGTAGGTCTAATTAATTGGATCTTATTACTATACTCGAATTCCAAATCATTATCTTAAATTTTAGTTCTTTCATTTCTATTAACAAATATACATGTATACTAATTTACACAAATCTGATCTGACATGTAAGTATAGTAAGACATTCTTATCATTAAAAATATATAAACACAAAGTCATCATTTCTATGGCATAACCGGCCAGCCCTTCACGCAAAATCTATGAAAAATCAGTTGGAATTTCTAATCACAGTAAACTAGGTAGTGAATTCTTTTTATATTTTAATCATTTTTATATGTTGCTGGCTTTGATTTACTCTGCGACATTTATAATCGCGGTGATAGAAGCTGGAGTTGTTCTTTCTCTACACCATGTGATCAGCTACGCCACCGGTGGTGAAAACAGCCAATGCAGTCTTGGAACTCTGCTTGTTTGTCACCCTCATTCTTAATGGGGTTTAACCAGTCTTATCTTGTAAGCGCTTTGATTTATAAATTTTGCATGTTAATTTCTTCTTTCAACACCTAAATGCTCACTGTATATATTAAGTCTAGCTTGGTCTATTACTCAGCCGAAGGTTTAGTTTATGTATCGGATGACCCGAATTAATTTAAAATAATATTATTTTAAATTTTTTTAAAATTAAAATTAAAATAAAATTTTGATTAACTCACTAATTGATCTGTCAAGTTGATGGAGTCAAATTTCTTCTGAATTGTTTTGAAACCTGAGCCGGACAAGATATTGGGTTAATTCATCAAAACAAATGGAGTCATTGTTGTTGGTTAATATTAGTAGTATTAATGATGAACATTAGACAAGAGGGAAATCACAAAATATTGTAAATAATATATCGCCTAATAAAAAGGAACGAGTGGCTGCCGTTCATCGATGTTTTACTACCTAGGAGAGAAGGTGAACTGTTTTTTTTTTTTTGGCCGTTTAAATCCTCGTGCAACTAACTTCAATTTGTCCTCACGTTCTTCTTCAAGGAACAAAATCCTTGTTTTTTTTTTTTTTTTTTTTGATTTACGTGGGGTGTCCGGGCCAGCTTACGCGCACCACGACTAATCCCCACGGCCCACTGAACACCCTGCAAACCCAGCAGGCAGGTAAGACAGTGCGGGGCTGACAAGCATACAACTCCAAAGCTCGAACCCGTGACAGCAGAAGGCGCAAGACGCCATTCCACCGCTGACCGTTGCCTTGGGTGCGAACAAAATCCTTGTTTATGACATGCATCGGTGTCACGTGACAATGAAAAGGACAGAACTTTACAAGCCTAAACAAGTGTTTTATATATATATTCTCAACTAATCAAATTATCCTAAAATTATGTGATGGACTCATCTATGTATATAAAAACATAAAGCATTTATGCTTCTTGCGTAGTTTATTCTATTATGCGATGAATGGATTTTAGTTAATTCAAAGTATTTTTTATCTAAAAATATATTAAAATAAAATTTTTTAATAAAATTATTTTTAATATTAATATATCAAAATAATTTAAAAATATAATAAAAAAATAAATCAAAAAAATTAAAATTTCATGAAATATGAATCGTGTTCTCATATGATAACTAACAAAAATAAATGAAGATCATTTCGAGATATAAATTTATTAATGATTTTCTATATTTGTCTTTCCTTTTTTCTATATAATTAATCAACTAACCATAGAATTGGATTCTTTAGAACTCAAAAGCAATTCATAAAATTTTTAATGATTTTTTTTTCCTCTTCATATTCAAATTCTTTAGTATTATAATCAAGCCCACCCACCAAACGGCCAGACTCTTCGAAAAACAGAACACGTGCAGGTGTCTCTCTCATTTAGCTATAAAAATCAAAGGACATCAACTACTAAGCTTATGGGTTTGTACTTTCACCATAACATAATCGTACTTAGTATGGCTTTCTTCTTTTAGAAACACCCTTTTCGAACCCCAAATTATTGGCCTTATACCTGCACTGATTATCTCCAGGGTCATGGGTACCTCTAATGGTTGCAGAATAGATTATGCTGATCTGGATGAGTCTTATCAGCCAATATTACATGAAAGACGTTCATTCTCGGGGGAGACGGTGAGTTCTGAACTTGAAGAAATATTATCTAACATGGAATTATCCCGCAGTCGGCGAATCCTGAGAGCCACCTTTCTTGAACTGAAAATCCTCTTTCCTCTAGCAGCACCAGCAATTGTGGTTTACTTGCTCAATTTTCTTATTTCCATATCCACCCAAATTTTCTGTGGTCATCTTGGCAATCTTCAACTTGCTGGTGCCTCTCTTGGCACTACTGGCATCCAAGTTTTTATCTTTGGCATTATGGTATGATCTCCTAACATAAGTTCCAGATATAATTAAAAGAAATGGTAGCCAAATAGAACATTATATTATTGTTATTTATTTATTTTACCATGTTTGATGATACAAGTATGTAATTAATCAATGAATGCGTGCAGTTGGGCATGGGAAGTGCAGTGGAGACACTATGTGGACAAGCCTATGGAGCACACAAATATGAAATGCTAGGCATATATATGCAAAGATCCACAATTCTTCTCACTTTATCTGGGCTTGTGCTTATGTTTATCTACATCTTCTGCAAGCCTATCTTACTGGGACTACACGAATCTCCTTCCATTGCATCTGCAGCTGCAATTTTTGTCTATGGTTTAATTCCACAAATCTTTGCTTACGCCTGCAATTTTCCCATACAAAAGTTCTTGCAAGCTCAAAGTGTAATTTTCCCTAGTGCATGCATATCAGCTGGTACTCTTGTACTGCATGTACTACTAAGTTGGGTTGTAATTTTCAAGCTTGGAGGAGGGTTGTTGGGTGCTGCATTGGTTGCGAGTCTTTCATGGTGGATTATAGTGGTGGCCCAGTTTGTGTACATTCTAGCAAGCAAGAAGTTCAAGCACACCTGGAGGGGTTTTAGTATCCAGGCCTTCTCTGGGTTATGGGATTTCTTCAAGTTGTCCCTTGCATCAGGTGTTATGCTATGCCTTGAGACTTGGTACTATCAGATACTAACGTTGATCGCAGGGCTGCTTAAAAATGCTGAAGTTTCCTTGGACGCTCTGTCCATCTGGTAAGCAGAGCTCTACAGTTTGGATTCATTTTTGGTTATCCAGATTTAGATGCTCTTACTTTCTATAGGAGAAATCCAAAAACACTGGAGTTGATGTGTTTTAATCAAATCGATTTCGTGATTTCTTGAACAACTTCATGTACATAATTGTAACACTTGTTTGAATGCAGCATGGCGATAAACGGGTGGTGTTTTATGATCTCTGTTGGTTTTCAAGCAGCAGCAAGGTTCGTTTTCTCATGTAATTGAAGCTATGTTATTTAAAAGGTTAAGTGGGTCAAGCCGTCCCTCAATTTTAAGTTATTTTTAATTTGGTCCTTCCATTGAAAAAGGTAAAAAATGACCTCCTAAGATTTTGGTCTATTTAAAATTGGGGGTCCTTTTGTTAAGATTTCACTCTAGTTAAATTGAATATTCTCTACAAATATTTTGATCATATTAAACCATTTACTGTCAATTTATTGTTACTTTAAACCACCCATTCATTTTTGCTCGTGAAAGTCACTTAACTTGTGCACAAAATGATTTAAATCCTTGATTTATTAACTTATTCTTGAATCCTTAAATGAATTTGACTTCTGCCAAAAAAAAATAAAAAAACTGTCTTTATAAAGCGATACGAAAATATCCATAAATCTAAAATAACAATTATCCATACAAATACAAAAACAAAAATATACTCACTCTCTTTTTTATGAAATTTAATTTGTTATTAAAAAAATTTATTTTTTTAAGCCATACTCGAACTTACGTAACTAGCCCTTGATTTGATCAATTAATGCTTCACATTCAATCTAACAAAAAACAATAAAAATGGATGCGAGGTTTAAAGTAACAAGAAATGGGAAGTAACGGATTCAATATGATCAAATTATTTGTAGAGGGTTGAATTTGACTAAATTTTAATAATACAGGGATACTTGGTGATTTTTAAATCTAAGTTAATAAAAGAAACCCTACAAAAAAAATCTAATAATAGAATGACCCCACTCTTAAAAATGAAAAATCGACCCTCGTGACTTAAAATCCAAGAGATGTTGACCTATTTAGCCTCAATTACATTATTCATAAAAAAAAAAAAAACAAGGACCTATTTGTCTGTTTTGTCATCACTTTTAATGGTGAGGTTAATTGGGAAAGGTTTGTCTGATCTGATTTGGAATTTTCTTTGTTTGGGGACTCGATTGAGAATCAAGTGATGTTTGGTAGATAAATATTTTAATCATCTTGTATAGACAACTCGATAATAATAATAATAATAATAATAATAATAACTATGTTTTTTTTAATTGTGAATTACAGTGTGAGAGTAGGCAATGAGTTAGGAGCTGGACATCCCAAAGCAGCTTCTTTTGCTGTTATAATAGTAAATTTAAGCTCATTGATCATATCTGTGATCTTGGCCATTGCTGTGCTCTTGTTGCGGCATGTCATAAGCTATGCCTTCACTAGTGGTACGGTGGTTGCCGGTGCTGTTGCGGAGCTTTCCCCCTTTTTGGCTGCCTCCATCGTACTAGGTGGAGTCCAACCTGTTTTGTCTGGTAAGGTACCGGTAATAAAAATGTTTCACACGTTGTAGTTCCATGCTTAAAGTTGATACAGTGCTATAGTTGTTGTGGAGGTTCCTGTGCTTGTCTTGTGAACCTCTCTATCATCATCAAAGAATAGTAAGCTGAGTTCATATGATTTGTTTTTTAAATATATCACAGTTTTAAAAAGATTTTTTGCAAAATAACACAAGTGCAATTATGTTTTATAAAATAACATAGTTCGATTCATGTTGAAATCTAAAATAACTAGCCATTTTTAAAGAAATTATTATAATAGATAAGCATAAATCTAAATAAAATAAAAAGAAAAATAAGTAACTTTAAAAACACATCAAAATTCTGATAATGAGAATCTTGATATCATAAAAAAGATCATTAATATTAAAAAAAATTATCAACAGTAATCAAATTAAATTACACGTGCTGAAAAAAAAAAAAAAGAGTCATCAGGGTTGTTATTATTAAAACTTTGGTATTTCTTCAGGGTATTATTATTCTTTTTTCTCTCCTATCTTTTTCAAACATTTTAAGAAAATTTGTTCTTCCCAACCACACTTCTCACAAAGTCGATATTGTCTCAAATTTGGCCCCATACCCTTATCCCAAAAGGCACTAAGAAACAGCTAAGAAAGATGAGCAATTAGAAAACAGGTTTTTTTTTTTCTCAATTTTTAATTTCTTTGAATTAATTTTTGAAGGAGTGGCTGTTGGATGCGGATGGCAAGCATTTGTGGCATATGTTAATATTGCATGTTACTACATAATTGGCATTCCATTGGGTTGCGTTCTTGGCTTTACATGCGACATGGGTGCAAAGGTAAATACTTATTTATGAACCATAAATACCCTTGATTTCTATTTTTTTATATTATTATTATTATTATTATTAACGTGATCCATACTGAATATGTCTCTTTCTTTGTTACAGGGAATATGGAGTGGAATGTTGGGAGGCACAATTATGCAGACTATAGTCTTATTATGGGCAACATTTAGGACAAATTGGAAAAAAGAGGTAATATCAATATGTAATTTACCATTAAATCATTTGACTGATCTCTAACTTTCCAATCAATCTTATATATATATATATATATATATATATATATATATATATATATATATATATTACAGTTGATAGACAAATTTAAAATTTTATATATTTGAAACCATAAGCTGTGAATTTTGGATTTTTCAGGTGGAGAAAGCTCACAGTCGATTGGATTCTTGGAATGACAATAAAGAACCACTTTTGAAGGAGTAAAATGGACATCGGTTTAGGTTCAGTGGATATTTTGCTTGCCTTTAAGGAGATAATTTTACTAAATAAATCTCAAGAAGCAAGATGTTTCCTTTTTCATTTCTTATAGTTTCTCATATCCTTTTCCCCTTTGAATATTCAAGAGCATTGAATTTGGTACTATGTTTTTTTTAAATATTTTAGTTCTATAAAAGGTTTAGCCATTGTTTTAAAATTAATCTAGGATTCGATTCACAAGGGCTTTAACCGATTTGAATTAAAATAAAATTAAAAAATTAAAAAAACTTAGAGCTTTAACCGATATGAATTAAAATAAAATTCAAAAAACTTAGTAGACCCGAACAATATAACCTGACCTAGTTATTAACTCATTAAAATGAAAGACAATATTTTAATTTTTCTTTTAAAAGGGTTAAGCTCTTTAATATATAATTCTGATTTTATCCTGTATTAATATCAAATTAAATTTTAAAACTATAGTAATGTTTCTTACTATCCTTAAACCGTCGCTTCTGGACGTCCAATTTTAATTGTCAAGCCTTGTAATTTAAATTTTATCCATTTTGTATTTCAGCCACAATCCCAAAAGAAAGCTTAAAATCCCAAAGCATTGTTTCTAGCCCTCCTCCGTTGTATCCATAAACTCGGAATATCATCCCTAGGACCCTACAAGCAACTTGATAAGGTTGATTTTGACTGGACAACAGTCTGGGCCAACTCCTGGCATGTTCTGTCAACGTCTAATTTCTTCCATGGAGATCGTGTAATTAATGGCGTATGACTGTATGGCACTAAGAGAATTTGTTTCATTTGTGGAATTGATCGTTTCATCCAATATCTTGCCTTCCCCTTTCCTTCTCACAAGGACACACAACCTCAAATCCATTAAAAAAATTGAAAGCGGATGCCCAGCATTTTTAACAGAAGTATAGCCATGGCCAATAAGTACTTAACTTTCATGTGTATATATCCTGTCAATTTCCAAATGCATGTAGGGCTTCTTTTTTTTTAAAGGGCAAAGGCAGGATGGTGACAGGCTGCAAGACCCACGAAAATTAAGCACTTGCCATAAATTAATTTCAGTAGTCGGTTTGGAAATAAGGTAATTAATGACTAAATTAAAATCAATATCATGATCCAGGGAAAATAAAATCAATACTGGCACTCATGATCAAAGTACCAATTGGCTTGCTGGAAACCGAGAATTTATGAAGTTTTGAATTAAAATCTCCGCTTAACTTTTTAACTTTTTACCGGATCAAGTGTCTTGAGATTGAAACCAATACGAAACTCAAGCATATTATGTCTAGCAGCCAAGTCAAAGCTAATAGTTTATAATGCATATAATAATATCTCAAATTTAAAAAATTATAAATCTTCTAAAAAAATATTTAATATTTAGATGAAAATATAAAATTAATATTTTCATTCATAATACATAAAAAAAATTATTTTTAAAATCTTAAAATAAATCACTTAAAATTCAATATTTTTTTAAACTTTTCTCTTCGAATATAACAAATTTATATAATAAGTTGGATAAATAAAAAAGAATCTACATTTAAGTTATACTGTATATAAATGAAAAAATTTATTTAAATGAAACAATTTTTATTTTTACTATCCAATCATGTTTTTAAAAATTTTTAATTTTTTTCACCCAAACGCTTAGGTTTTATTATGGCTGTCACACTCAGATATGAGTTTTGTATGGTTGTCAACCCAAATGCCCTGAGTCTAACAATCATGTCAGATCCAACATACTTGAGTTTGATAATAATGTCTGATTTAACAAACAATAAATAAAAAGAATAATTGTACTTTAGTTATTATGAGAGAGATAAAAAAAAAAAAACATAAATAATCGATCAGTTAATAATCCAATCATTATTTATCTATACCCGCTATACCATGTTGAAAAGAACAGGACTGCGCATCAAATGAAATAATGAATGACCAGATTTAGCCATTATTAAATGTCATACACGTCTTTTTAATAGTGCTGTTCTACTCATTTGCTAAGAAAAAATAAAATAATAAAAAAATATTAAGTGAAAAGATAAAAATTTAAAAATAAAATTATTATTATATTATAACCTACAATAAAACATCTCTTAATCTTTAATGATTTCTAAATCATTTAATTTTTGTTATAAATTAATTTATCCCCTCGGAATTGGGACTGGGACGTATTCAATTTTCCTCCTTAAAGCTTCGTTTATATTAATTTGTCTTCTAAGATTTCAATCACGTATCAATGTTCTTCTTTAGGTTATCTATGGTAAGATTTTTTTTTTCCAGTTTCTAAGCTTTTAAAACTTGATAAAATAGAAACCATTGAAAAATAATTTAATAAGATCAAATCTTCTGCGCTTATTAAAAAAGTATAAATGATATCATGAACATCATTTATATTTAAAAATATAAGATACAAAATAAGAATTTATCTTTCTAGTGAAAACAAATAAAAAATACAATATCTTGAAAATTAGAAAACCCAAAAAAAAGATTGAAATTTTTAAAATAAAAATCTTGATAAACAAAAGAAAATAACTCTTAATCTGTTTTATTAATACAAGGGTATAATCGTAAGCTAACAAAGCAATACTATATTTAAGAATATCAATAAATTATGACACTAGAATGTTTAAGACTGTAATGTAAGGTAATTTTTAAAATAGCTTTATTATTTAAAAATATATTAAAATAATTTTTTCAAGTTTTATTTTTATTTTTGATAGTATCATCATATAAATATAAATAAATAAAAAATATCAATTTAAACTTATTTTAAATAAAAAACACTGTTCAAAAACATCCAATAACAAACCTCCGATCACTTGTTTATCTTAAATATATTCTTCAATATGTGGATGAACAAATTCCCTCCACAAAGGGCCTCCGTACAACAACCAGAGAAATTAAAGTAAGGAAAGTTAGTTGATTCGCACGCTGTTTCTCTCCCAGCTACCCAGGAAAACCATGGCATGTTTGCCTTCATTTGCTTTTATTTCCATCCTTTTCCCTCAACACTTTCACACTATTAGGAAATTAGCTTATCTTTGTGCTTCTGCGTATGAGCAATATCCCTGTACAAGACCAATCTTTGGCCTTGCATATCTGCTTTGTTTAGCTCATGTAGAGAGAAAAGATCGAAGATCATGGCCACCTCCAGTGAAGACAGCAGAATAGAGTATGCTGAAGATGAGCCTTACGAGCCTATATTGCATGACAAAAGATCATTCTCCGGGGAGCCAGTGAGTTCTGAACTTGAAGAAATACTATCTGTCATGGAATTTCCCCGCTCTCAACGAATCCTCAGAGCCACTAGGCTTGAACTGAAAATCCTGTCTCGTCTAGCAGCACCAGCAATTGTGGTTTACTTGCTCAATTTTTTAATTTCCATATCCACACATGTTTTTTGTGGTCATCTTGGCAATCTTCAACTTGCTGCTGCCTCTCTTGGCAATACTGGTGTCCAAGGCTTTGTCTATGGCATTGTGGTATGGTCTCAATAATTTGACCGTTCGTGGATTACATGCTCAGAATAAACGCCATATATGTATATGTATTTGACGAAAGAAATTTTCATGTGCAGTTTGGAATGGGAAGTGCAGTGGAGACACTATGTGGACAAGCCTATGGAGCACGAAGATATGAAATGCTAGGCATATATATGCAAAGATCCACAATTCTTCTCACTTTATCTGGGCTTGTGCTTATGTTTATCTACATCTTCTGCAAGCCTATCTTACTGGGACTACACGAATCTCCTTCCATTGCATCTGCAGCTGCAATTTTTGTCTATGGTTTAATTCCACAAATCTTTGCTTACGCCTGCAATTTCCCCATACAAAAGTTCTTGCAAGCTCAAAGTGTAATTTTCCCTAGTGCATGCATTTCGGCTGGTACTCTTGTACTCCATGTACTACTAAGTTGGGTTGTAATTTTCAAGCTCGGAGGAGGGTTGTTGGGTGCAGCATTGGTTACGAGCCTTTCATGGTGGATTATAGTGGTGGCCCAGTTTGTGTACATTCTAGCAAGCAAGAAGTTCAAGCACACCTGGAGGGGTTTTAGTATCCAGGCCTTCTCTGGGTTATGGGATTTCTTCAAGTTGTCCCTTGCATCAGGTGTTATGCTATGCCTTGAATGTTGGTACTATCAGATACTAACGTTGATCGCAGGGCTGCTTAAAAATGCCGAAGTTTCCTTGGATGCTCTATCCATCTGGTAAGCAAAGGATATGCTACTAGGTTCTTGTACCTAACTAGCCACTTGTGATCTGTTTGTGGTTCAGATTGAGTCAATTAAAAATCGTTAATTTCTGATTTTTTTTATGCCATTTGTAGGAATTGGCATTAAAATTCTGGTCTCAGAATAAGATAAGTAAAATGCTTGAAATGATTTTAAAAATATTATAATTACATGTTTATTCAGGTAAAAGATACTTTTTAAAAATATTTTTTATTAAAGAATATATCAAAATATTTTTTTTATTTTGAACAACAATATATTAAAATCATCAAAAAAAATTTTAAAAATATTAATTTTTTATTTTTTATACCATATATATTTTAAAAATACAATCCCAAATAACACCAAATATATTTTAAAAATACAATCCCAAATAACCTTTCGCTAGTTGCTAAAAGCTATTTTTAGTAAAAGATAATCGATCTAAAAATAGTTAATTTTTAATATTATAATGTATATGGTGATTATAATTATAATACAATGTCAAAAATAGGGATCTATAACAAATTAATTTCTTATTTTCTTGGATAACTTACTCTGTCTAATCTTGACACTTAATTGAATGCAGCATGACAATAAATGGTTGGTGCTTTATGATCTCGGTCGGTTTTCAGGCAGCTGCAAGGTTAGTTTTCCAATAAAATAGAGGCTAAGTTATTCGAAATTTGTTACAATTAGACTAATAATTCTTTTTATCTCTCTCCCAACTATCATCAAATTCTTAATTTGTACTCCATTTATGTAACTGAAGAGTAAGGTTTTATCCTTAGTATTGCTGCTCAATTTTGATCCTATTTTAAAAAAAATTCAAAAACAAACTAAAATTAGTCAAAGGAAAATTATATATAAAAAAACCTAAAAAATATATTCTTGATGTATTTACATTACTTTCAACATCTATTTCTACGCGTTCAGTTATTGATATGTTTTTTAAGTCAATATTGATGTTACTTTTTTTTTAAAAAAAAATCAAAATTACAAATGGGACAAATATGAAAAAAAAAAAGAAGTTGAGGGACCAAATTATTTTTGGATTATATGTCATCACACAATTAAAAATAACGAACTTGTTTTCGCCTATAAAACATACTAGAGGAAGAGGGAATTAGTTAGAGCATGAAAAATCATATAATACAAAACATCTCCTAGTTCTCAATCAGCCACCAATCAACCTTCATCCCCCCGTGCCAAAAATCTTACCAACTTCAACCCATGATCCTCATATTTTCTTTTCTAAGATGGTAAAGAACCAACACAAATAAAAAATTATTTTTTACTCCAAATTGATTATAAAAAAGAACAATAAAGCCTCTCAAGATCTCCTCCATCTCACCCATAATTGACAACCCTTATCATTGACAACCATTGTAACGTATCATAAGCTCTTCCAATTGATGGTCTAAATAATCCTAACAACCACCGTTTCTCTTTAAGACTGAATCAAATCAACAGCTTAACACCAACGAGTTGTCAAAATCTAAAATGGAAAACAGATCTGTAGGGAAGAAAAAGAAATAAAATAGAGAAGCAGGTCAACTAGAAGCTCTTAAACACACCCTCTCTTTCTCTTTAGTATTTCTTTCTTATATTTCTCACACATAATAACATAAACTTAGTTGTCTATTTACATACAAATTGAAAGTTAAAAAAAAAAAATCATATTTCAAGTGTGAACACTAATGGTTGGTGGTAGTGTGAAGATGGTTGGCAGCTATAGTTGGTGGTTGTCATCCTTGACCTTTTAGATTGAGTTTATTATAACAAATTCTCTTTTTAAACTTAATCGAGAGATGTCATGTCAATCATGAACTTCAATTTGATAAATATTTTTCCCTTCAATAGCTTTGTAAAGATATATGTAACTTGATCATTTATTTTACAAGATATTAGTTCAATTTCTTTGTTCTTCACATGGTCTCGAATAAAGTGATGGCGTGTATCAATGTATTTACTTCTTTCATGATACATTGGGTTCTGTACCAATACAATTGCCAATTGATTATAAATATAAATCTTTATAGGATTTTGTTGAGAAAATCCCAAATGCTTCAGCATATTTCTTAACCATATTAAATAACATATAGCTGAGTTGGTAGCAATATACTTAGCTTCATAGCTTGATAATGTTACTACTAATTTTTTCTTGAATAACCATGTGAAAGAAGTATCTCCCATAAAAAAGTCAAATCTTGTTGTGCTTTTCCTTTCATCCAAGTCGTAACCCTAATCATTATCTAAATAGCCAACAAGATTGAAGTTTTTACTTGAGTATATCATGTCTAGTACATGTCAAGTACCTCAAGTTTCCTACTAAGTTTTTAAAGTAGGCTAGATGAATATTTCCTACTTTACTCTTCCTCAATTCAACTCCATTTTCAATTGGAGTTGATATCAGATTGTAATTTTTTATCTTAAATTTTTCAAGAATATCTTTAATGTAACTATTTTGGGATACAAAAATTCTTTTTTCTTTTTGTGTCACATTTAAACCAAGAAAATATGTCATGTGACCAATATCTATTATTTCAAACTCTTATACCATGCTTTTCTTAAAGTCTTCAAACATGGTAAGATTGTTGTTGGAGAATATCAAGTCATCAACATATAGAAATATGAATAATGTGCTCCATCAACTTCTTTATTCACATACATTGTGTGTTTATATAAATATTTTTCAAATCTATTTTCTTGAAAATACCTGTCAACTTTAGTATTTTAAGACACAGAGCTTGCTTCAAATTTTAGAAGGCTTTCTTCAACTTATATACTTTGCTTTTATTTTCAGCTTCAATATATCTAAGTGGTTGTTTGATAGATCTTTCATCTATGGTGTGCAACTAGTAAGATCATTATAATATATCTAAGTGGTTGTTTAATATAGATCTTTGTTTTTTAAAAAAAGTCATTCAGAAATGATAACTTCAAATTGAGTTGATAGATCTTTGATCTATGGTGTGCAACTAGTAAGATCATTAGTTTGATTTCTTTAGCCTGGCTATAGGAACAAATACTTCTCCATAATAAATGCCTTCTCTATATTTATAGTCTTTTGTCACTAACCTTACTTTATATCTTTTTACTTCACCTTTTACATTCTTCTTTGTCTTATAAACCTATTTAACACCAATTGCATACTTACTTTCTCGTAGATTAATCAACTTTTAAGTATCATTCTTCTTAATGGCTTGTATTTCTTTATCTATTATTTCCATCCATTTCTCTTATGTGATAGCTTTATTGAAGCTAAGTGGGTCACTATTTACAAAGAAACAAAATAAAGTTGCATCTTCCATAACTTGAGTGACATTGTACAACTCTTTTAGATTTCTCATCCTTCTTGATTCTTCTAATGAGGATGCTAATAGTGATGTTGAAGATGATCCTAGTATTGATGTGTTTCTCCTGTTGAATACATAAAATCCATGTTTGGGACTTTATGGCTCATTTTCTGGTAACATTGAACCTTTTACAAGTATTCTTAGTACTTCCATTTTATCTTTAAAGATCAGATCAGTGCTAATCCACGTGACTACTTCTTAATCATCATTTTATTGCCAATTTTTCTCTTCTTTAAAGGTAACATCTCTACTTATAACTACCTCCTTTATGATGGGATTATATATATCTTGTATCTCATTCTTCTTCTATCACCATATCTGACAAAGTTGTATTTCTTGCTTTTATCATTGAGTTTGGTTCTTCTTGCATTTGGAATCTTTGCATATGCCACATAACCAAAGACTTGAAGATGAGTAACACTTAGTTTGCGACCACTCTATGCTTCTTTTAAAGTAATAGCCTGTAAACTTTTAGTTGGGCATCGATTCAGCAGATACACTACACATGATACAAACCAACACATGGTATTATTTGGGCAACTTTTTTACTTTAAGTAAACTTCTTGTCATGTCAAGAATCGTTTGATTATTTCTCTTAGCTGCACCATTCTTTCTTCACTTTGTAGTCGTGGCTATTAGATGATAATTCTTCATAAAAAGAGTATAATCTTCTTTAAAAGTTGACCTACAGCAAGCATAGTATGCTTTATGGATGGAATATAATAAACATCTGTGATGTAGCTATGATCGTTATTCTTCAATCTGATTGAGATGTTGTCTTTATCTTTTATAAGAACTTTTAAGGTATCCCTAAAGATGGTTTATCCTTGTGTGGTCTAATTCAGATCATTAAATAGATCATGTTATTCACACATGTGATTATTGACTTTAGAATTTAGGTACCAAACATTCTTTTGATTCTTACCTAGTGCTTGTTGGATAAATACTGCAACTGATCCTCTTATTGTGGCATCTTTCTTTGTATAAGCTTGTTCATGTATCTCTAATAGAGCTTTCCTTTAACATTCAATGTCATGCCTAAATTAATTACAGCTATAACACTAGATATTTCTCTTGTCACGGTTATTGTACGTGTCTCATCTTTCTCTAGGAGTAAATGCTTGTTCTCCTCGACCTTCTTTATTGGTGTTTCTACACTTCTTCCTCTAAATCATGTATTCTAAGATCCTCTTCATTCAAATTATTGAAATCCTCCTCATCTTTATTAACCTCTTTCTTGAGTAGTATATCCACTTGTTGGAGTCTCCCCTTACTCATATATCTCTTCTGTAAGAGACAATTTCGATTACAAAGCATGCTCAATTACCATATCTTTATTTTTTTTTATAATCTTTTGTTCGTGAGCTTATAAAGAACTTATGAGCTCATCTCTTGTCAATTTGTCCACTTCTTTGGATCTTCAATAGCGACAATAACAAAATTAAATTTTAGATCTAAGGATCTCAAAATTTTCTTAGTAATTCAAGCATCTATGAGGACTTCTTTATTTCTTTTTATCTAATTAACTATCATAATAGTTCTTATATGATAATTAGAAATAGATTCTACGAACTTTATTTGCAATGATTCAAACTCACCTCGCAAAAATTAGGGATGAATCTTCTTGATTCTGTCAGCACCTTTGTATTTTTGTTAGAGAGCCTTCTATATATTTTTTTATGTTTGTACAAAAGCAATGATTTCAAATATAGTTTCATCAAGACCTTGTTAGATGATGGTCTTTTCTTTGTTGTCTTTCTTTCTATTGGTTTTAAGGATTTGCTTCTGTGGCTCTTGTAGATAATCTTCTACTTCTTTGGACTCTGGTTCATTATAACCATATTACACAATCTCTATACACTATTGTGAACTAAGAAATACCTTCAATACGATAAATTAATTATCATAATTATCTTTGGTTAGCTTTAGGATGAGTGTTTATGCATTTTCTATAGTTATTTTATTCTTTGAATTACAAAATAAACTTTTAAGACTTGAATTTTACAAAATAGACACTATAGATTAATCCAGAATGGTTTAAATAGTAAGGAATCAGTCTAACTTGGTTGAAAAATAGGTTAAAATGAGTTGAAATGGTCACAAACTGATTACAGATGTCGGTCAGTTCGCTGGTGCTAAAATGGGAATATTCAAGGAATATTCTTCAACTGATTGCTGGATGGCGCAGCTCGACGTGGCTCAAATATGGTGCACATATGGATCAGTACCAAACTTTCAGAAGGCATGTGTAGCTACCTTTTTGCTCCAATAAGGTTAATTTTTACACCATTGAGTTTGTATTGATGAACTCTACACTGTGAAATGATCAAAATGTATTTTTGACAACTTTAAAAATTCAGATGTATCTCAAAAAACTCCTTTGTTTTTTACGAATAAGGTTCTAATATAAATGGTTGGTGGGAAAAACCATTGATGGTAGCTTTGAAACACTTAGAAAAGATAAAACACACTGTTTTATTTCAAAAACAAAAAGCTTACAAATAACAAAAAGCTTTAAAACACACTCTTTTTATCTCTAGTGTTTCTCTCTTATATTTCCCACACCTAATAAAATAAATTAGGAAATAACTATTATTTCCATACGATTATTGTTGAATGTGAATAATATGTTTCATAAACTAGAAAATCAATAAGGGCATATTTAGTTTATAAAACCAAATGAAATTTGGGGCCATTGGATTAAAAGTTGTCAAAGATGAAGAAAAATACCACAAGTTTTGTACGGTACAAAAAGTTTTTATTTCAAACATATAAGGGCAAGTAGGGGTAGTGGCTTGCTTTTTTCCCCCACCAACTCATATAAGAAGCTCAAAATTACTAGGATAAAAGTTAGAAGGGTCTAAATGGATGAAATCTAGCTATTTTTTAATCTAAATTTTGAGCTTCGTAAATGCTATTTTAGTTTCTTTGGTTTTATATTATAGATAATTTGCCTCTTCACATGAATAAATTAAGTGCCTATTTATACACAAATTAAAAGTAAGAAACTTTGCCTCTTCACATGAATAAATTAACTGTCTATTTATACACAAATTAAAAGTAAGAAAAAATCATATTTCGACTATGAACACTAATGGTTAGTGGTAGTGTGAAGATGATTGACGGCTACAATTGGTGGTTACCATTCTTAATTTTCTGGATTAAGTTTACTACAAGACAATGGTGATGGTGCTCGTGACTATTTTTACAACCTAAAAGCTTCTCGATATTGATCTTGAATTTCCAACAATTTTTCTAGATTAATTTTTTGATTTTAAAAGGTTTATTTTATATATACATGTATTTTAGATTTAATTAATAGTTTATTGAATCCATGAGAACTTGATCATCAATATTTCAATAACTTTTTAAAATTTTAATTCCTAAGAATTAATGATCAATATTCTAGTATAAATGTTGGACCTATAAGAGGTTGGCATTTAAATATCAAAAGTTGACTAGAAAGTTCTCAGAATTATTCTAAATATTTATAAATTTAAACTAGGGATATTTTTCATCATAACACACGAGTTGTGGAAAACCCTTTCACCTTTCAAGATAGGTGAAATCTCTCTAGGCATTTACATAGACTCTTTCTATAAGAATTTATTTGGGTGCACAAGCTCATAATAAATTCAAAACGCTAGATTTATTAACACGAATAAATTTTTATCTTAAATCATAGACAGACTATCAATTAGGAACTTATCAAAACCTTTAAATCACATTGAAACAACACAGTAGAACTTACCTCATATAAGATATGCTAAAAATGCTAATATATTTTATGACCACAATCAGTACCTTACTTTTAGAATTTTAATTTGAATTTTCTAATGGTTATAAACTAAATAACTAAGTGGTTATAAACTAAATAAGTAAGTGGTTACTTCTTAACCCTCAATGTCATGACACATAAATGAAAAATCTAATAGGAATTTTTTTTTCTTAATTGTGTTTTACGGAATTAACATAAACTTTTAAGATTCTATTGCATTTTGTCTGTTGCAACAATCCATTCTCACCGGAAGACACAATTATTATTATTATTATTATTACTATTAAAGAATAAAAACAGGTTTTTGTTGGAGAAACAAAGAGAAGAATATAAACTAAATTTGTCTCTATAATATTTTTTAAAATGAATTTTTCGTCTTTCTAAGTCAGAAGAAAAACAGGAGCTTACAGGAAGGCAAGTTCATTCTATCCGTATTTTTATGGCTTTTCTATAAGAGAAATCATCAAATACCTAGAATGCATCTCCGATTAAATTAAAAAAAAATAAATAAAAGAAACCCTTGTAGGGAAGCCCGTTTTAGAACAACACTATAATAACCACACAAACAAATCCAAGGAAACCAGAGATTTCTTCTCCATTTAATTTGATTTCTTTTAGTCTTTTTCATGAATGAACATATATATCATTGATAAAAGAAACTTGAGAAGAACTCACCCTTCTCAAAAGCCAATACACTTGATTTCTTCCGATTTTTTCTCTGTTTTCTTAATTTGTTATTGACCGTGACCGAATGCCACAAAAAAGCTATGCGTAAAATAATCACTTTTAACTTTCTTTGTTATTGTTAATTACAGTGTGAGAGTAAGCAACGAGTTAGGTGCTGGGCATCCCAAAACATCATTGTTTTCTGTTGTGGTAGTGAGTTTAGGCTCACTGATCATCTCAGTGGTCTTGGCTATTGCTATGCTCTTATTGCGGCATGTCATAAGCTATGCCTTCACTAGTGGTACCGCAGTTGCCGAAGCTGTTGCAGAGCTATCTCCTTTCCTAGCAGGCACCATCGTTTTAGGTGGAATCCAGCCTGTTTTATCTGGTAAGTTAACTGGTAATAATATTTTGCAGCTCAGACATGAGCCGTTATTGAGATTTTTACCTTGTGTTTCTCATATGATTTACTTGGGTTGTATTGAAGAGGCTCTTGCACTTGTCTTTCTGCATCTTTAACTCAACTCAGCCATGAATTGATCTGTGATTCATTGATCTGAAGCTTAGATTAGGTTGGGTTTATTTTTAGCATGCTTAAGAAGTTGACTCGATTAAACTTGGTCAAATCAGAGTGATATATAATTAAACTGATTTTTTTTATTTTAATATTTACTCAAAACAATATTGTTTTGGGATAAATATAAGTTGACATAACCAACCCATAACATCATCTTTAACCAAGTTTAGAAAATATCTAGTTGGATTGAATCTTTTTTTATTTTAATTTTTATTTAAAACAATACTATTTTGATAAAAATATGAATTGACCTAACCAATTCATAACATGATGCTAATTTAATGTGTTTGATAACTATGCCAATATTGCATGTTGCTATGTCAATAACTATGCTTTTCTTTGCTATCTTCTAGTGCGTGTTTTTGTGACAAGGGAATGTGGCCAAATATGAGCCACATCCATCACTTTCTTAAAGAACTCAACTAACTATAAATGAAGATCACAGGGACCAGCGGTTAGGAACACTTTCTGTAAGCCAATTTTTGACTGGTTATTTCTTGGAATATAACTTTTGAAGGAGTGGCTGTTGGATGCGGATGGCAAGTATTTGTGGCTTATGTCAATATTGCATGTTACTACGTCATTGGTATCCCATTGGGCTGCGTTCTTGGTTTTACATGCGACATGGGTACGAAGGTACATACATATTTTCTAACCATAATGCATCAAATAATGTCCTCCATTAAGAAATTGTTTCCATTTATGATCTTGTTTTTTCTTCTTCGTTTACGATGAATCCTTAACTCATCAATGTGGGCAGTTTCCATTTGATTTTATGAAACAAGATGAATGTGACCAACACTAAATATGTTTCTATATTTTACAGGGAATATGGACTGGGATGTTAGGAGGCACCATTATGCAGACTATAGTCTTGCTATGGGTAACATTTCGGACAAATTGGGAAAAAGAGGTATAAGCATTGTTCTACATATGGTTAAATTAGAAGGCAACCCTTTTTATAACTGGGAAATTTTGGATTTTTCAGGTGGAAAAAGCTCAGAATCGTTTGGTTACTTGGAATGACATTAACGAACCTCTTTTGAAGGAGTAAAACAGGCATTGGAGTAAAGTTAAGTTATAGTAATTTGGGAAGGAGATAAAAAAAAAATTTAATTGACTTAGATGTGTGAGAGACATTGTTTTTAAGATATTTATTTGTCTTACATCAAAACAAACAACAGCTTCAAAACATAAGTAATATGGATTGTATTATTTTCTTTTTCATCGGGCAAAATGTTATGATGTGAATTTTTGCTATATGGGCTAGACTTACTTTGTACTTCAAATGGTCTCCTTGTGTGGACTAAGAGGACAAATAAGAGAAACGATTCATTGTAGATGCCTTCAGTCATACATATGCTGAAATGAAATGTTTGCGCGTCGTAAAATGACAAATCAGGACCTTCAGTAATTAATGGTGTTCTCAGAGATCATAAAGGGAGATTTCTTTACATTTTTTCTTGTTATAGGTTCTAGTAAAGTTGAGATCTTGAAAAGTAGAAAAGCTATGGTTTTGAGTATTGTTCTACAAATCAATAGATTACAAAGTCAAGTTCTTATAATACAATTACTTGGATTAAAGGAAAAAATGTTATGTGGCCTTGACGTTTTCAATCAGAATTCAATGGTATTTTCAATGCATGTAGTAGGCTTCATTCTATGTGCTTTGATCATATGCAAAGAGAGAAAAATCATGTTGCGAACCATTTGGTCAAGGAAGAAGTTCTTGGAGAAAATGACCTACTTGTTTGGTTATAGTGTTTCCTTTTTATCAAGGTATTTTTTGCTTGATTTGATTATAGATTTAGTTTTTTAAAATATTTTTCTATCACTTATAAAATTTTATATATGTACTCTTCTCCATTAAGTCATGTACGTAATGGCTATAACAGTTGATATAATAAATCTCCCGTATTTCATCTAAAAAACATAACTAAGTAATTAAAACTCTCTAAGAAATAAAAAATAAAAAATAAAAAAAGACATGTTTTGATATGTGTTATTTTATTACATAACATATCTTTATTTATAGAATTGAAACAGTGTAAAGAAATTATATAACCATTAATAAATAAAATTTTTTTATTAAATTAAATAATTATTTTTCAATTTAATTATAACAATCATAATTATCAATAAACTAATAATTAATATTAAGGAGGAATTATTTAAAAAATAATCTCATTGGTAATATTTTTAGTTCCAAGTGACATATGCTCTATTTTTATATAGTTCCAAGTGACATATGCTCTATTTTTATATAATTAAGAAGAAATCTAAAAGAAATCCATTGTTCATTGTTCATCTCCTCACATATTCACATAGTAACATGTTTTTTTTTATCTTTTATTTTATTCAATTATTTGATTTTTTTAATTTATTTCTTTGACATTGGATTATTTGGCAATTGAATTTTATAATTTTTTATTTTATTTTTATTTGGTTATTATGATCTCAAATATTATAACTTTTAGTTGGTACTCAATTTTGAAGAAAAAAATATCAATTTTATTCTTTTCAAAATATCAATTTATTCCTTTGACATTGTTTTTTTTTTTACTTTAGTCCCTCATCTCTGATTTGTGCAATTAGACCCTCAATTAATCCATAAACTCTCAATTTCTTCAATTAATTATATGATTTGGTTAATTACAACCCCTCTATTTACACATATTTTTCAGTTTGGTCCATGGTTTTTATTTTCTTCAATTAAGTCTCTAATTAGCTATCAAACTTCAATATTTATGTAATTAAACCCCTAATTTGACCAAATTAACTCTTAAAAATTATAATTTGACCCCAAAACTTAATTTCTCCCAATTAAAGCCTAAATTAACTTCAAAATTAATTTTTCATGCAATCAAACCCTTCATAAATTCAATTAAATCTTTAATAAAATTTAATTGAGTCCATAAGCATCTAATTTTAAACTTTTCTTCCTCAAATTAAATTTTTTTTTTTATCAACAAAGCTCTCATTAGTCAACAATATACTGTCAATTTTAATCCTTGTATTTTTAAACCTCTTCAACTAATTCTTAGCCATTTTTTAGGCGCTTTAACATCCTATTCTCATTGCTATTATTGTTTTGGATTTTTTTTGTTTTTAGTTTGAATTTTTTTATTTTTTAGAAGAGAAAAAATAAATTTAGGGAATAACCCAAAAATAAATTATGACAATAATTTGTTTTAATTTTATTTATACTAGGTTATTATAGTCTCAAAAAAAATTATCTCAACTTTCAATTGGTGCTTAATTTTGTAAGGGAAAAAATCAATTTTGTTGTTTGCTAGAGATTTTGAGTTAGGGGAACAAAATTAAAAAAAAAAAAAGAAGAAGAAATATGACAACCTTATAAAAACAATTCCAAAGAAAATTGTTCAAAAATCCTTTTGTGTCTTATTAGTTTCACAATTATACATTTTGGTACAAAATTCTTTTTGGTTCATGTTTTAGTTTCTAAACTTGAGAGATGATAGAATTAAAGAGTTGCCTTATTGGTTGAATCCAAATGATGAAATTGGCCAAATTTGTTCTCAAATTGTTCTCCTTAAAGAGAGGAATGTGATTATGGTGTTTTTAGGGTTAATGTCTATGGAAAAATTAAATCAAGGTTGAAGAAAGTTTTTATCTTGAATTATTGTGTTTTTGTTTTTACTAGTTTTAGGTTTTTTTGGTTTAGGGATTGGTTTTTTAGGATTAAAGGGGTGTTGCTTTTAGTTTCTTTATGTGAAAATAAGTTAAAAAATAGGGTTTTATTGGGTAAATAATGAGCTAACTTGTTTTTTTAGCTACTATTATAGTGCTGAAAACTGAAGGTCATGATGTGCCATTTGCTTTTACTTTTTTTCTAAGAAAGAAGATGGATGATAGGTTAGTAATTTCTTCTATGCCAACAGAAAAAAAAAAACTAAGACCATATGCATGGCCTTTTTTTTTTGTTAGGCCAAGCCCAAGTATCTAAGTTTTTCTTGTTTTGGCTTTTATTTTATTTTTTAGTTTAAATTTAAATTAATTAAATTGAATTGACTAATTATATATGTGGAATGCTTAGCTTGGAGAATGTTCAATTTTAATTGAAATTAATTATAATTTTTTTATGTATTTTCAATAAAAATATCATTTAATATTTACTTGGTCTTTTAATAAGATTATAATTTTTTTATATTAGTAGGCATTCTTTTTATGCAACCCTATATACTTTTTTTCTTGAATTTTATTCAATCAATTTCCTATAATTATTTATTTGTATTATTATTTAGTTAAATAAAAAATTAATTTTAAAAAATAAAATTATTAAACTCAACCAGATTCATAAGCCGTCATGTGAGATCAAATGTCTTAATCTGCATTTGTCTCTCAACTTTCTAATATAATTTTTGTTTGGCATTAACATGTCTTTCTTGTATTTATTGATATATATGTATGATTCTTGAATTATTTAATTAAATGTATGTGTTAGTTTTTTTATTAATAGTTATATTTTTTTTGTAAAAAAAATGTTGGGAATGCCTATGCATTTATTTTTATATTAAAAAAAATTATTTAACCTGTAACGAAGTAGGGGTCAACTAACTAGAAATTCTTTTATTTAATATTGTTCAATTTTTACTATATTTTTTTAATAAGATTATAGTGTTTTTTTTTTAATATTAACAAGAGTTCTTTTTGTGCAATTCATAGTAGTCATTCTTTTTATATTTCATTTGGTTGTTTTACTATAATTGTCTATTTTTATTATTATATAATTAAATTAAAAATATTTTTAAAAAATAAAGTTATTATACTCAATTAGATTTATGACCCGCATTGTAAGCTTAACAGAATAATTCAAATTAACTTGTTAATCTAAAATGTTATCGTCTCAATTTAAAAAGAAATATAAAGTCTTTAAATTTTATTTTTAAATTAAATTAAATTTTTATTTGTCGATCAACTTACTTTTAAATTGAGAATCTTTATTTATGTTTATCTCTCAACTTGACAGCTTAATTTTTAGCTGATGTTAAAAAAAATTTCACACTCATTTGCTCGTGTAATTCTCAAGTTTTGTGTCAGTGGTTAAAAAAAAAATTAACTCCTTGAGTTTCAATACCATGACATTATAAAAAAAAAAAAAAATAGCTAGAAGAAATAAGACCAATCCTAGTTCATATGTGTTTAATTAGGTTTTTTTATTAAAAAGAAAAAGAAAAAGAAGAAGAAGAAGAAAAGAATGACTACAACAGCTAAGACTTTGGTAACAAATGGATATTACCATCATGTTATTATGTCTAACTATTTTGAACAACACAAAGGGTTGGATCTTACACCATAGTAAGTTTGATCAAAGATAATATCATTTTAGGTTCAAAAAATTTATAAATATACAAGTCTAGATATGATGTGGTCTTCCTAGACCCAGTCATAAACGATTCTTTGAGAAAATCCAAGGTAGGATTTAGAGGGATGATGAAGGGCCCTGTTGTTTTTCTAACTTTATTGACTGCTTCGGAGTTGGCCTGAGAATTATATTGAAGCCCTGAAGAACAGCTTTCTTTAGTGGCTAACCGCATTTGTTTCTTCCATTTCTAGTCTTTGCTTGAATCCTTTTGCTTACTAATTTAACAGAAACTTACCTCATACTAGTTGTCCAAAAAACTATTTTTGAAAAATTAGCCTGTTCTTTTCTTGATATAAACCCACAAACAACCAGCCCCTTTTAGCAGATTACAGAGAAGATGAAGCCCGTTAGAAGTTTCTTCTTGTTTTTTGTAACTATAAGCCTCGCCTTCTTCTTCCACCCATCAGTGGCCAAAGGAAGCACCAACCTAATCCAAGAAGTGTGTACAAAAACTCATAACAAGGTTAATTGTGTTGCCAGCCTTGAATCTAACCCTGATAGCAAACAAGCCAATCTACAGCAACTTGGCATAATTGCATTAAACCTTGCATCAACGAACGCAACAAACACATCCTCGTACATCAAGACAACATTGCTTAGTAACAAAACTCTGGGCCCTGTCAATGACCAAGCCCTAGAAGATTGTTCAGATCAATACTTGGATGCCATCCAGCAACTTGATAACTCATTGGCTGCTTTGTTAGCCAATGCTACTAATGATGTACGTGCTTGGGTGAGAGCAGCACTTGCTGATGTTGAATCATGCGAGAATGGATTCAAGAAACAGGCTCCTGGCCAACAAACGTTGCTGTCTTCGAGAAACGCAGTTTTTCGCCAAATGTGCAACAATGTCTTGGTCATCAACAAACTC